GGGGGGGGGGTACGAGAACGCCGAGATGAGAAGGAAGAGAAATATTAATAGCGGATGTAGAACAGAGAGATATAACAATGCCGAAGGTATAACAAGATCGACACAATCGACAGTCATGGCGGGAGCAGCAAAGCAGAAAACAAGACTTGAATTTGCTACACAAAATTATAACTATTGTGTTTTACAATTGCTCGATTGGATTTAATTCGCATTCACTTCATTTTCCAAACCATAATTTCAGTCGTAGAAGTTGCTAGGACCCATTATTAGCTACTAAATTTTTAAAGATTGTTCAATCCTACTAATAAACATTTTGCGCATAAAAGTTACTCACCAAAACAGAAAATTCTTTGAAGAAATACAACACAACACATAGTGTAAGCGATCTCTACAATTTCGAAAACGTTCTTCAATTGTAGTATTCGTATGTTAAGTGTAAAAAGATCCAAGCAAAAGTTTTTATGTTTTATTTACCTGACTTTTATTACAAAAATATCTTTTCTCGGTCCCTGATATTATCTATTGGTGTGAACGCCTCGGCATGACTTTCCGTTTCACAGAAACTAAAAGTTACAAATGGGGGTAAATTAGAAGATTGTCGATACAATAGAGAAAGTTCGGGCGTTGAAGTCTCCACAAACCTATCTCGACGGCCAGTCCGACAGCGAAAAATAAACGTCAGCCGATTCAGCAGGTCCAAAAACACAGCACTCGAAAGTCCACCCCTCGGAAGGGCCTACGGAATGCACTGGGAATCCTTGGTCCACCCCCATCATTTTGGAAGGGGAGGGGGTGGCGGCAACGTCGAGTTGGCAACACCGGGCAGGCAGTGAGTCGCGGCGGGAGCAGGTAGAAAACAGCAGAGCTCTAGGGGCAGGCTCCTGCAACCGCGCAGTGGGCACCCTGGAAGGCTGGTTGCTGGGTCAACACTCCAACGCGAGGCTGACCTACGCTCCCAGCCTGTTGTCTTTTCTCACTAACCTCGCCCTTGCAGGAAAACCTCGAGGTGTTTGCCACCATTTTTCTTTCTCCCCGCGGATTGACACTGGGCAAACCGCGCCAAACCGCCGTTAGCAAATTTGCTTTGTGCGTGTCGCAACCGCGTACCGGCTGGCGGGTCTATGCCGAGGAAGAGCTGGAGGGGCATCTTATGAATGGCGAGGACTCGGAGTTTGAAGGAATGTCTAAGTGCTTTGGTGCGCGGAATCTGTTTGCTCTGGAGACCGACCGACACAACGGTTTGGAAATCAAACAAGCAGCTTCCTTTTTCCTGGATGAATACTGGAAAATGTTGCAAGTGTGCAGGGTGACTTCGCCCGGGGTTTGTCTTTCAACGATCGCAAACGGCAAAGATAAGGGAAACGCGACCTTATACAAAGGCTCATTCAAAGACAGAATAGTTGGTCATGATGGTATGAAATCATTCACCCAAAGAAATTATAAAATACACTGATTTTTAAACGTTATTTTAAATGTACATAAGTGTACATTATAATTTATTTACATTTAAAACTATAGTTTCTTTTACTAGCTCTTATTGGTACTATATTCATAGCCTATTTACTTGAAGCTTTGATTTGAAAAGAATCTTAAATGATACTTCGACTGTACTTATACTTCACTGCTATGTTTTGCAATGCTTAGCAAATTTAAAAATCGTGGTAAGGAGCATTCATTCTGTTCATTTACTTCACCGAAGAAGTAAGATGATTACTTGTGACACTGCAATGTATTCTGCATACGCTTTTCTTTCGTAACCGTCACTTCAAATTATGGAACACATCCATTTTAATTTTTTCGTTTCAGATGAATGACCGCACACCTGCTGGAAGTAAAATTAGTACACAACAATAACAGGGCACATGGGCAAAAAGCAGTGTATCGGATGCTATATTTTTAGTAGCGCTAAGACCAAGCAACACCTTTTGTTCTATAACTCATGTCACGTCCTGCTCGGCATCCTTCAAAAGCACAATAAGCCCATTTGACAGTAGCACACTTCTCCCACGCAGTCATGCACTTTACACCAGGCATCCTGCTCGGGTACTCTTTTATGCTTTCGACACTCTACCCTCATTTCCGCCGCACCCTTGCAGCCCCGAGTGAAAGTAAAGCAACAAAAACATCGATAAGCTCATAACCGTTAGACTCTGGGAAATGGAGCCGCGGCACCCAAATGCCGGGAGCCATGCAGAATGGACTCGGCAGGAAAGGGGCTAAAAATAACTCTTGTCTCTTAAAAGGAAACACGAGGACGTGCGGCGCGGTCGCGGAAAAACCGTTCCAATTTTCGCTGCTGGGCACACCTCTGCGCGCGGACGCGCCCAAAACCGTTGCGAAACGTGCTCGGCACGCAGCCAATATTCCCCCGGCTCGGCGTAAGGATCTCACTACGAAAAACACGAGGATACAGCCCGTTAAATGTACGAAGACGGTGCAGCTTGGTACATGCCGTGTATTCAGGACAAACTCTGCTCGAAAATTGCCCAGTGGGCGACAAAAGAAGTCGTCTCTGGAAGCGGTTGCTTCACAAATGCGTGAACCGACGAGCAGGCTCCGACAATGGACATTTCTTTCAATGCCTCCCAAACAAGCGCGAAAAAACGCACGTTGATTTATGCCTCGTTGATGTTTCGATTCCCGGTAGATGCGAAGTTGATTTCGAAAACCGCGATCTAGCAGTTTCTTGTGCGAGCATCATTTTGACCTTCAGTTTACAACCACGTACGTACGTCTCGTTGAGAACTCGAAGGCGAAAAAAAATCAATTTACCATCGATTCAAAAAACACAACCGACCTTTGGCCGACGTCCAACTCATCAAGAAATATCTGGGGGAAGCACGCGTCGGTGAGAGACTAAAGGAAAACACAAATCCCAGTCGCCCTTATTTACAACTACAGTAAATAATATGCCACGTGGGTCAACAGTCGTGAAGCATTTGACCACAATGGCGGTTTTCGCCATAACTTGCAACCAAAATATCATGCGACGCGTGCTTCGGGTTCTTTATGCGCCAAACATATTCGAGCGCCGGCTCGTAACTCTCGCGAGCAGGTTGATGGGCGAACCCTCGATTAAGCGGGAGGCTCCAAGTGCTGCCCGAGCGTGGCGTGGCGTGCGTCCGATCTGCACGTCCCCGCGCACCATGCCCTTTACGACGTGATTTAAAAACGCGCAATTGGTTCGTTACAGTCCGCAAAATGTACGGCCGCTGCTATATTTATACTTTGATCGCGCGTTTCTTACGCCAGTGTAACCGAGGTAGGAGAAGTTCCTGCACTATTTGCGGCGTCAATTCTTGCGGATGATAACGAAACAAGAAGAAGAAATAGATCGCTACATTAAAATCTGAAAGGGAATATTTATCACCGGCGTGTTTTCTTTGGGTACAAGTGCGAAGGATTAATGTACACAGACGTCTTTCCGCTATTTTTCATACTTCGAAGCGAACCTAATAAAACCAAGAGGAAGCGTTACGATGCGCATATTTTACCACCAACTTTCTACACTCGCAAAGAACGAACCCAAAATTCATAAAGTAGCACGCATTGGTAATTACAAGGCAGCTATACAAGAATGAAATTACAGAAGCGAATACTACGAATTAAAACATTTACACCTCAGATTGCAATAAGAACATCTTTTGAATTTTCCCAACCTCCATTCCCTATTTTGAAGCAATTTCTTGAATTTGGAAATCGCGTACGATTTACTTTAGAACATCATAAATTTAAATTCATATCAAGAAACGTGTGACTGCAAAAGTGTCTAAGACCTAGTAAAATTCACAGAGCAATTTGTATAATAGTTATTTTTGACTAAATTTAGAGGTAGTGAAATATTTGGTGTTAAAAATAACATTTTATTTTGCGAATTAATAGTTTAATGTTGCGAGTTCATGGTGTAATTGTGCGAGTTAAGGGAATTAAATACCAAATTACATCACATGACCGGAAAAATCAAGGTATTTTATTGGTCCAACATGATTAATTTATTTACGGGTACGAACGTCGGCATTTCTTATATTTTCACTCCTCAATTCTTTTATATCTAGCATGGCTTTCGATTCTACAATATTCCATCAACTCTACTGTTCATTGTCATT